GCTTCTTCTACTCTGGGTTTGTTTGGTACTCGCGATATAAGATATTCTGGCCGACAAGGATGCCAGCACGGATGCGGACGTAATGGTATAGATACCCCCTGCTAAATCCTCTAATATTTGAAGACTGACGGTCGTCTTGGAAGAGGAACTCTCTTGCTTTTTGAATAGCCTCCTGTCGTTTAGCCGGATCTCGGAAGCGCCGCTTCATGCCATGCTTCAGACGATACTCCTGTACAGTCCGCTCGGAGATCTCGATGCCGCGTCGCTTGAGATCACGGACGATGGAAGTGTCGCTATATCCATATCGGTAGAAGTAGCCTTTAATCAGCTCGACGAAGGCGTCGGTATCAATCTTTGAGCGAAGGGGGGAGTACTCCTGGGCACCCCATTCCGCTAACCTCCTTTTCAGGGTTCTGACGTCGAGTATGTGCCCATCGTCGCGGAGATGGGCACATATAGTGTCAATAGATAGTCCTTCTCGCCGCTGCTCGAGGATCCAGTCCTTAACGCGCTCCAAGTCCTTACGTGGCCTCGGCATTGTGCGGGACGCAGACTAGGGGTTCGAGATTGTGGTAGAGGTCGGAGTTCATACCTCCTTCAAGCCTTCCAGCTGCAATATCCTGGCCTCTCTAAACCGGCATTATCGGAGCTTCGGCGCCGATGGAATGGCATCAGCACCGATGGAATGGCATCAGCACCGCTTGGTATGGCATCAGCTCTGCTACATTGAAAACAGTGCGCTATCATATCAATACTGTAGCCCCATATAAAAACGCCAATAGCCTATGTGCGAAACAGCTCGAGTCATTTTCGTACATGGTTTTGTCACCCATGTGGTAATGTGCGACCGTACATTACGGTTCCGTGGATCTCGTTGATGTCGAGAGGTTTAGGGAGGACGCCAAGAAAGTGCGGGATTGAGGCGGGTTATCAGTCGGTCCGCGGAGGCGCTTGGATCCATCCAATTTCCGCTGTACGCAGCAAAAGGGCTTCCAAACGCTCGGATCACCTAACACCCAATGCCCTCCAAGCCCATGCGTAGCTTCGTTCCGAAAGGCATTGACGGACCCCGTAGGGGACCGGTCTCCTGTAGGATCTAGGCGGTCAATAGGCGGACGGGTACCCATCCTTCTAAAATTGGACGGGCCCGTCCCAATTACCGTATTCGGTATCGCCCCCTCCGTTGTCGGACCTTCCATCACGTCGTGTTCAAAAGTATGTGACTCGACTCATATCCAGCTTGCATGTCTGCAACTTCAACGAGAAACGTCCAAAACTTATGAGGCTGAGGCGCCTTGAATTGTGAGCCTATCAAAATTGCACTCTCATGGATTCGACACAAAGACGAATACCGGCTTCGTTCGCCGACGACTGCCTCCCACCTGAGGGCGAATATGAATCACGGGATGCCTTATTCCAAGCGATCAACGCTTGGGCAGCGACAAAGGGCTACGCGTTCATAACTGGAAGGTCAACCAAAGAGAAAACCGGCCGGCAAACAATTACATATATGTGTGATCGTCGCCGCAACCATCCCATTGTTTCAAAAGAGCGTCGACGGAAAACAACGACTCGAACAACTGGTTGCGAATTCTCGGTATTAGGGAAAGAGTCTCGAGACAAGAGTACCTGGATTCTACGGCATCGTTCTGACAACAGGTTCTCACAGCATAACCATGAACCAAGTCAAGACACGACTGCCCACCCGATACTTCGAACACTCTCCAAAGAGAATCTGTCCCAATTGACAAGCCTTACAAATGCCGGTATCGCCCCAAAAGAAATCAGAACATATATGCGCCAAAATACAGACACGATAGCAACACAGCAAGATATCTATAATCGTATTGCAGACGTCAGACGAGAAGTTTGCCAAGGACAAAACAGCATCAACGCACTTGCTGATCAATTATTCAAAGAAGGATTCTGGAGCCAGTTCCAAACTGGCCCGGACGGTCGAGTCAAAGCTGTTCTATTTGCTCACCCTGATTCGGTGGCATACCTCCAATCTTACCCAGATGTCCTCATACTAGACTGCACTTACAAAACGAACAAGTACAGAATGCCGCTTCTGGATTTGATCGGAGTTGACTCTTGTCAACGATCTTTTTGCATTGCGTTTGCTTTCTTGAGCGGCGAATGCGAACAAGATTATTATTGGGCCTTAGACCGGTTCAGATCACTGTGTGAAAGTCGCAAGATCAGGCATCCTTCAGTCGTCTTAACAGATCGCTGTGTAGCCTGCATGAACGCCGTCGCTACGTGCTTCCCTTCATCCAATCCGCTTCTATGTCTTTGGCATGCCAACAAAGCAGTTCTTCGTTACTGTCAACCCCGATTCACACGCCAGTTCCAGGAAGGTAATCAGGGAATTGAAGCCTGGAAAGAGTTCTATGGCCATTGGCATTCGATCATCAAGTCACCAAACGATGAGACATTCCATGAACGTGTATTGGAGTTTGAGCAAAAGTATCTTCCTGACTATAGTGAAGAAGTAAGGTATGTCAAGACGAACTGGCTTGATCAATCAAAGAGAAGCTAGTAAAGGCTTGGGTTAATCGACATCTTCACTTTGACAACGTCACTTCACGGGTTGAAGGCATTCATTGGCTACTTAAGAGTCATCTTAAAGTGTCGACATTGGATCTATCCGAAGCTTGGATGTCAATCAAACATGCATTGCTTAACCAACTCGCCGAGTTAAAGTCCAATCAAGCTAAACAGCATATTCGGACGCCTATTGAACTCTCCGGAGTCTTGTATAGTGCTGTACGTGGTTGGGTGTCTCATGAAGCTTTACGGAAGGTCGAACAACAGCGGAAGCTACTGTTTAGTAAATATCCTCTTCCCTCGCCGACCTGTACAGGCTCTTTTACACAGTCTCAAGGTCTGCCTTGTGTTCACAAATTGGAGTGTTTGTTGGCTCAGGACCAGACTCTGCAACTCGAAGACTTCCACCCACATTGGCACCTGCATCGGAAAGATACTCCACGACCACTCCTAGAACCTCGTCAGCGCATCGACCCAGCCACCACAACTTCGTCCTTACCGCTATCGAGCGTTAGAAGAGAACTCAGTGGTTTCGAAGTCGCTGAGAATGTGAGAGCTACAAGAACGCCTCCTTTGTGCAGCAAATGTCATATACTGGGTCACACAAGAACTTCGAAAGATTGTCCATTGAGATATTCAGAACTAAGAGCATTACCGGCTGTTTTTTCGAAGCTGCCAAAGGCTCAATTACAACATTTTCGGTGGATACCGGACCCAGTGTCAGAGCAGCCGCTTCTACCTTCGGCGACGACATTCGAGCAGATACAATGGCAGTCGGTCATCACCCCAGAAGAGTTCGAGTTCGAATCTGACGCGGCGTCGGATCTCTCACTACAATTAGCCATCGAACCGGAGCCAGCTGTTCAGGAAGCAACCACCAACGAGCCATCTGCGGAACCATTCTTTCAGCTGCCTGCAGAGCCTACATCTCTGTCGCCTACAATCTCTCCCCGCAGGTCATCACTGCCTCCATCTTTACAAAATCCAACTTCATCTCCGCCTCTTAGGTATAGTGATCCGCGGGCAATTCACCAGAGATACGTTGCGTCCAGAGATGCTTGGTATAAAGCCCAAAGCCGTGGGAATTTTGTGGGCAATCAGCAGTATCGAAAGGCAATGGGACTGCCCTTAAGATATTCTAAAGAAAGCTTCAAGTGGTGTCTTGATTACAAGCAGATGGGGAAACGCTGTACGACCTCGGCAGACTCAAGGGGTTGGACCAAAGAAGAGATGATGGCTTATCTGGACTGGGACAAGACAGAGACCGATCGTGTCGAAGCCCGCGTCGCCCAGGAGACGGAAAACGGGCGATTAGTCACTAGCAGAAGAGGTATGGGTGAGTTGTGGGAAATGGCACAGCAAGACATTGATGAACAACAAGCCTTGTACTCAGCTGTAGAGCAAGAAGAAAGCTGTATTATAGTTCAGCCATAGTACTTTTGAAGCTTATCGAAGACAGTTAACTTCAACTCTCCAACTCTACAAGGAGAGAAAAGAGCATGACTGTGTTCTAATAACTACTGAAGGGTGCTACCTGAGAAGTTGTGTTTGTAGACGTAAGGTTAGACAGGACGCGATGGAAGGTCCGACAACGGAGGGAGCGATACCGAATACGGTAATTAGGACGGGCCCGTCCAATTTTAGAAGGACGGGTACCCGTCCGCCTATTGACCGCCCCAAACTACGTGTCAGATCTCGTGACTCCGTAAGTGGGGTCTGACGGTCTGAGTTGGGTGCTGTTGAAGGAAGCCCACGGCCGCCTACGGCGGCTGTGGCCTCAGGCAGCCGGGACCTCATACAGGCTCCAATTCCCTCGCCTAGCTAGCTAGTGATAATCATCAATGCACACATCGTTGACCTCTTAACAGGTGCCTTTGGCACCGGGAAATGTACGATCAAATGATGCCAAAATAGGCTGCTTGAATTGATGATAAATATGACCTTAATAACGTCGTGATGACTGATGGATTGACCGTGTTCTTTTTCATCTTAACCGGCGAGGGATTTCCCTCATCTACGGTCTCCAAGACCCCCGCTTCCTTCGTCATCAGACCGAACCGGACCCCTCCGTCTGACACTACGCGAGTTGACTCATGAGTCTGAGTTAAACTCATGAGTGAGGTATGGTGAGACCGAAACTCATATGGGTGAGTTAAAAGGGTCGAAACTCATGAGTTAGCTCAAATGCCCAGATATGTCCAGGAAGAGGTTGATCGACCGATTTTCCGTCTGCGCATTCAAGGAATAAAAGACACGTGGAATTCATGTTTGATTAAGCGTGGAAATCAGTTCCGAGCAGGTCAAATCACTGGAGTACGGTGCCAGCTCGCGAACGTGAGGATGTAGGAAATTCTACGAGTATTCTGGTTTATTCGAGCTTGAGACCAGAATTCACTAGAGGATCACCATGAATTGAGCAAGAGAAATAGTATTAACACTATAGACATTTCCTATGATTCGGAAGTCAAGTCGATTATATCGCTATCGACGCTAGAGTCAAGCTCGGATCGTGATACAACCTTCGGATCGGGGGACCTGATATGATTTAAGACCAGATGATCCGTAAAACTGACGGTGCGATGATATTTTCTTTGGCACCAAGGGCAGAGGTAACGGCCTTTTATAAGAAATTTAGATATAAGGGGGTTCTCATCTCGGCTTCCCGTCAATTCTCGCAGGCGTTTCAGAAAGTATGGGGGGACCTCATGCGGCGGCTGGCCAAATCGTGGCTCTCCCGTTTGCATTTGAATGCTGCATGGAAATAGAGGTTTGGTCGGGGGTTTGACGGGAGGTTTGACTAGTGGTTTGACTGGGGATCTAACCAAGAATGGCTCGCGTATTAAGTAGACTGTCGCCGAGTCTGATCTGTAGAGTGTTCCTAAGTGTGATCTCCTAAAAATCTTCGTATTTGCAGGTGGAATATCGGGAGTTGGAACTTGGGAAACCTGAGGCTTTGTCGCTTGGAGCTGGCCGATAGGAGGCGTAGAGGAGTTGGCTTCAGTATTGATGGGAACAAAAGCCCCAGCACTGAGCTGTGTACTCAGAACTTTACTTGGCGTTATCCCGGGGTCTCGAGATTGTGATCCACTTGTCGGGGCTGTGACCGGCGGTTTCGGATTCAAGGCACGGGACGTTCTTTGTGAAACCTCGGAACGAGAGTCATATGTAGTTCGATAGGCGGCGTCCCAACGCATCGTAACCCGTGGCCCGCCCGTTGAATTCGAATCAGTGATCGGAGGTTTTGGTTGTAGTGTGCGTAATATTCCTAATTGTGGAGTTTCGGTGCCTGTCACGGAATCGTTGGGGTTCTGGGGCGACGATATTTGTATGGCATGGCAACTAAATGTTGTGGAGTTGTCAATAGGATATCCACGGCGGCCTCTTGGTGGCTGATTCAAGCCGCTTAGCGCCACAACGCCGCCAAATCACGTCCGTGCCCTCAGCGACTTCGAATATTACCCCCTCTCCACGGTCGCCTGGCCTGACCGGCGTAACGCAATTCCTACGTAATCGAAGGTCTCTATCTTTGCGCAATAACCGGGAACCTGCTTGAAGCTATCAAGCAGGGCCCCCCGATCCCGGATCCGTCAGTTTATGTGATGAGGCACTTGTGCGATGAGTTATATATAGGCAGCCCGGAGGGCCGTGAAGCCCAAGGCGGCCTGCGGATAGAAGAGGTATTATTTACAGCTCACGAGAGGAAGATAGAGATCGTAGATTATAAATTACTTATAAACCCTATAGATACCGCCAACTCCTCTTCACTTCTTTTTCTTCTGTATAGTTAGCCGGGCCTTTCTATTAGCTCGGAGGAACTTGCAGAGCTGGTCAATTGAGTAGCCTATCTGCTGCTGCTGCAGGCTTATGGCATACATCGCAGCCTCCTCGCTTATACGCTGAGCCTGCGCCATACGGCGAATCTCCTTGATGATCTCGAGCCGTAGGGAGTACCACTGCACCTCGCTCTGCCGGCCAGCCCGCCACCGGCTTCCCCAGCGGCTATCGAGAGTAGCAATAGCTTGCTGGCCTCGTAGCCCGACTGTCCACTCTCTCCATAAGTCCCTGACTGTCTTAACCTCCCGGCACATACGATGCTGTGGCGGTCTTTCTAGCCCTGGGGTCACTGAGCGGCTGTTGCTGCTATTGCTTGAGTAAGCTGTTGTGTACTGGCTTTGGGCCTCTTTGGCAGCGGCGGCAGCAGCGGCAGTAAGTGCTGGTGCTGGCGGCAGTACTGGTGCTGGTTGTAGCTGCAGGAGACCAGGGGTGGCGGCTGTCTTGAGCTGGAAGGTGAGGCCAGTTGAGAAGAGCGACTGGAGCTGCGAGGCCTGCTCCCTGACGCCCTGAAGCTCGGCTCGTAGGTCGGCTCTTAGATCCGCCCTAAGGTCGGCCTGTAGGCTGGTGATCCTTGTGTCGTTTACGGTGGGCGATAGGGGGGACTGTTGCAAAACTCCCTTTTGAGTCTAGGCGCCCTGGCCCCTGGTCATCCGAGTACTTCGGGTCGGCATGGAAAATGTACTGCGGACTAGCAGCGAGCCCGCGCGTTGATCTTCTCTGAGAGTCCGCCTCTACGGTGGCACATTAGGCATGGTCTGCCAACGGTCGAAAACCCAAAACCGCAAAGTTTCTAGAAAATTGAATATAGGGCTGCAGCCCCTGTAGTCCGCTATAACCTGCATGTTTTATAGCGGGCTATAGTGGTCATAGCCCTAAATTTTATAGCGGGCTATCGTGACCGCACCCCGCCCACCATAACCCACTATATAATAGCAAGCTCTAGCAGCTGCAGCCCTCACTTTCGCACTGAGCTCAGCCCTCACTTTCGCACTGAGCTCCTCCAGCAGCCGCAGCCCTCTCTCATGCAACGGGCCACGCAACGGGCTACAGCAGCCGCAGCCCTGCCTCTTGCACAGGGCTACATTGGCTGCAGCCTTCTTTAATACAGCGGGCTATAATAGCTACCGCCCTGCATCTAGTAGGAGGCTCGCTGGTGTGGATATAGCTTGCAATAAAGCTAGGAGCTGGAGCCACTGTAGCCTGCTGGAAAAATTGTAGGTTATAGTGAGCTATAGTGGCTAGAGCCCTGTATCTTATAGCGGGCTATAGGGGTTGCAGCCCTATATTCAAAGGGTGATGAAAATTTGCGATTTTGGGGTTTCGACCATTGGCGGACCGTGCCTAATGTACCACCGTACGCCTCCACCTGCAGCAGCAATGTTTTAAAAGAGGCCAGCAGTCTACATACAGCTGGCTGGCACACTGATACGCACAACGCAATACTCCAAGCCCAGTTTTGACAAAGTGATTGATATTTTCTAGGCGGATTCGATTGAGAGACGCTTTTTTTTTCTTTCTTTTTTTTCCATCAACAGTTCTCGTTTACCATGGTCATGAAATCCGGACAGCAGCTGTACCAAGACGAGCAGAGCGAAGGTCGCTCAGCCTCCTACTGGAAGCAGCAACGCTGAGGTACATGGAGCAATGTACTGCGGGGCGGGATGTCCATACCGCTAGCCCATTTCTACACTAGCGTGGTGGATTTTGGAGTTTTGCAACAGTCACCCCTATAGCCTGCCGTAGTTGACACCTTGGGACGCGTTTTTGCACGCGTCATCGCGTGTCAGCCAGCAGCGTCTCCTCGTTTTTCCCCTCCACATACACCGAGATCACCAGCACATCCCTGTCAGGGAGTCGTAGTACCGCCCCCGTTAGGTCTGCTGATGGTATCGGAATCTGTTCAGCCTCTATGTCTCGTCGAATCCATAGCATGCTACGGATCGGCCACTGCGCATCATGCGTCTGCGTTGGTATCATCTTAGTCCAGTTAGTATGGCTATTTGGGGTCGTCACCACCGCACCGTCAATGGTTCGTGCGCATAGTAGTAGTAGATTTATTACGCCCGGGAGAACGGATCTCATAGGGCCATGGAATACGCTATGCTATTTACATTTCTGCCACCTTCAATCCTGACCACAAGTAAAGCCCCACTTTCTCTCCCTGGATCGCTTTCGCTTGGCCTCGCTTGACTCTCTCTGACAGGCCTGCTTGAAGGCCAATTTCTCCAAGTGTTCAGCATCCTATCCTCAGCAGCTGAAGCGTGGTCTGTCAAAATGAGGCTGTATTGTGTTAGTATTGTGCCACTGTTTCCTGGTTCCGGCTGTTAGTATGTCCCATTCTCCTACTTCACTCCCAACCTTCCTGTCTTCATCGCAAATTTGATCGTTGCTCCCACCGCCTGTAGGTTAGGTGACCACTTCGGTCCGTCCGATGCCGACTTTCCTCCCAGAAAGAATGAGAGGTTTCCCATCTCGCTTTGTCCGATTCGCCGCATGCCTTCGCGTTGTGCATCCCACTTGCTGCAGCGAAAGAGAAAATGTTCCATCGTCTCGACTGCCCTTCCACATTCGCACAAGTCTGATTCCACTGCACCGATCCTCGACAGGTAGCTGTTAATCCTCGCCATTCCCGTGCGCAACTGCGAAAGCGTATCTGCTTCGCGTCTCTTCAGTCCGCCGTATAAAACCTTTGTGTGTATGCCTGGTAGCGCTTTGTCAACCCTCTTGGAGAAGCCGCCCACTCTGTCCGGTAGTGTCTGGTGCTGTTGTAGCTGCTTTCTCGCTAGTCTTATCCGCGTCGATCGGGCTTGGTACGGCTGTGTCTCTGGCATGCGCCCCGATTCAGTTGCTCTCTGCGCCTGTCTCTTCGCCTTAGGCCCCAAGGGGAACGCATCATCCCGAGAGGGTACCCAAATCATCTTGACCCTGTTGTTGCCTTTTCTTAGCCGTCGGATGTGGTTGTAGATTTCTCGGATGGCGCACTGTCCCGATTGTTGTCGTGGTCGCGCGATCGCCTTCAGTGCTGACTGGCCGCTTGACAGTATGGTAAGCCTTCGGTCCCGTAATCCGTCAGGCATGCATCGCAATGCCATCGCTATCGCCCCTAGCTCGGCTGTGTAGGGGTTCTGGTCGTCTCGCGAGCCGAGAGTGACCGAGTACCTGGCCATGACCCTATTCTCTTGCCCTACTGCTTTGTGGCTGATGATGCCTCCCATGCCCGTCATTCCTCCTCTGTCGGAAGCGCTGGTCGCGATGGTGATGTCTTCGACACTGTTGGCTGCCGCTATCGCCACCTTCCGATCTGCCTCACACACCAGCGACACGCGGGGGTGCCACGGCGGTGCTGCATAGGCTTCGATTGTTTCCATCCGCCCGATTCCGCTCTCGCCGAGGGCAAGCGCCAGTCTCTTCATCGGCGAGATGTACCTTCGACTCACTGATACTTTGAGTGTCGCTAGCGGGTGTTTCTTTGGCAGCGTGTGCATATTGATGTACAACTTCATTCCAGCCAGAGCATGTCGCTCGTGTACTGTTTGGATGCTGGCTTCCGCTTCAGCTACTGCCCTCGCTACCGTCTGGAAGGCTCCCGTGATGGCCCGCGCTCCTATTTTCTGTGCCCTGTTGAACTCTTTCAATTCCCTTTCGCCGCGCGCATGCGCCCATACGACAGATGCGTAGTCCGTGGCTGGGGCAACGGTTGCGACGAAGAGTTGTCTGGCAGCTTGTGGTGGCAGCATCCTGAGTCTCCTTAGACACATGGCTGCCAAGAGACCTTCGTGCGCATAGTTCAGCAACAGCCAGCACTGCATACTGCTAAAGGTCCTGGTCGTTCATCATGCTTAGTTGGACCACATCTCTCTTTCGTACGTTGAGTTGGAATATTTGCAGCTTAGTGACGGTATGCACCACCTTGTTCACTTCGTGCCCGGCAGTTTCGGCTGAACGCTTCGTGCGGCCCTCCGCAGGTGGCACATGACGGCTCTGCGACCTGGCATTGCCTGTGCTGGTGTCCTTGCTGCGCACACCTTCCGCATACCTGCTCCTTCTTGTACGCGAATGCTTTGTGGCTAATATTCCAGCACTTGTAGAACTGGACTGGTTCTTGGCGCCGCTTAAAGACGCTGGTGCTGGCCGACTCCCCGGCCAGGTGGAAGTATCCCTCCTCGAGGAGTCGCTTCGCGTCGTTTCCTTTCGTCACGTAGATCACCATCGACCCGTACGTCTTGCCGTTCCCCTTGTCGCTGAGCCAGTGGATCTTGGCAATCGTTACTTCGTTCTCCTTGCCTAGTGCCTCTGCGGCTCCCGGTAGTTCGTTACCAGAAGAGTCTAGTACTGCGGTGCGGTTTGCGCCGTCTACTTTGACCGGGTACAGTTGGCCCCTGAACACCCTTGCTCCCTTTACTGCAGTTCTTTGTGCTGTCTCCCTCACGAGCTGCATCTCCGCCTCATCTCTGCAGATCACCTTGATGCGGTCTGTGTTTCTCGCGTCCTTAACTACGGCTGCGCACCTCTAGTCCTGTAGGCCCTCCTTCGTTCGCATTCCCTCCTCAATAGCTTGGCGAACTTCTCCCACTTGTGCTTTGTCATTGTCCTCCTCGCTGACTCGTGATACGTCGATGGTACAGCACAGGGTGTCGGTGAATGAGGACGGTGTTGTTCGCATAGTTGAGAGAGATCGAACATTGCTGGGTTGGCTCATCGGTGGAGTACGGGCTACGTCTGCATACGATGGCTGTGGGCTTGTCTGGACACTGTTGGGCGTGACGCTTTTGGCCATCACGTCCAGCTGCTCTCGTAGCCGTCTTACTTCTTCTACCGTTTGCTGCCGTACCTGTCCAAGCTGCTCGTTCATCTGCTCAGTTATCTGCTTGCGCAGTTGTTTCAGATCTTCCGTTTCCTGTTCTCGCATCTGTCTAAGCTGTTCAGCTGTCTCTTCTCGCATAGCCCTGAGCTGGTCAGCCGTCTGTTCGTGCATGCGTCTAAGCTCTTCTGTCTTCCTCCGGTCTTCGGCTGCCTCGGCCCTGATCGTACGGATTTCCTGCTGGAGTTGTCGGATCATATCCAGCTGGGTGCTCGCCATCTTCGTCGCCGATCGCTGATTCTCCAGCAACGCATCCCAGAGCGTCTGCAGCATCTTCTTTTGTTCGCTCATTATATGGGTCGACGTTTCCTGGAGCATCGTCCGGAGCATCATCTGGATTAGCGGCTCGTTGCCGCTCACCGCGCTCTCCACCGCCTGCGATCCTTCCACCGCATTGCCATGATCGTTGTCACCTGCTGCCATTTGCTCTGCGCCGGCATTCTTTGACGTTCCGGCCTTGCTTGAGGCTGCCTGTACACTTTCCTGGGCTTTTGCGGTCGGTTTCACAGCTCTCGACGAGCGACGCGTCGCGGCCACCGAATCCCCACCCTCGACAAGGATCTCCTCGACGGTCGCGTCCATCTTCGCGATGCAGCGCTCACGGCAGCGCCAGCCCTTCTTTCCCCTGTAAAGAGTGTAAAGAGTGTAAAGAGTGTCTACAACAAGAACACAGACACAATACACACACATGTTCAAGGTCATCAAATGGTCACATAAGCCATCCCACAATATTAATCCACAAGCACTTTGCTGAGTAAGCTGTCAATTCAATCCACAAAGTCAAATATTGACGTCGATAAATTGACTCCTACCCTGCCTAGATGCCCCTACAGAGTACTGGGGTAACTCCTCGGCATTCCCACCAGTGCAGCGTAATAAACATCCCGTGAGACTGAAATGGCAACTGCCGTGTGGCATTGCCAGCCGAGCTGAATAGAATGGGTTTCCCGCTCGACCAGTAGCATGAACACTACGTCCGAGGAGCGGTACCCCGCAAACTCCACCGCATCGGATCCCGGATCCGAGGTCGAATCTGCCGAAGGTTATCGTGCTGTAGACGTCTCGACTGGGTCTTGGAGATGAGCGTAAAGTTAGGGTGTGGGCCGGGAGCCTCTTTCGGCAACTTTGCAGGGGTTTGCTCACTATACCATGGGACTGGTACTGGTACACATCTGGTCCGAGTCCCAGGCATGCAAACCAGCACCCCAGACAATGGGTAATGACACGCTACCCATGGAATACCATGCGGTCACGCAGACCTCGGTCCCATGATCCCCTTCGATCAACCCTTGTTTTCTTGTTGACCCATGCATTTATATTCGCCGCCGCCGCCGATGTTTTTCTCCAATTCACCAGGCCCTCACCTTTCAGCCCTTGTCCGTGGTGACTCAATTGCACTTCGTGCCCATTCAGGACCACCTTCTGGCCATGGATCCAGCTACCCAGGCCTCGGCCGATGACTCCTCCAATCTGAAGGACCTCGGGGTGACCCATGACGAGAACAAAGTCGCTGGAACTACACACCAAGTTGCAGAAAGGGGAAAGCTCGCGACTAATCAGTTTGTGATGATGCCACTATCTTGACGGCTCCAGGCTTATATTAGTACAGGTATGGCGAGTCGCTCATCGTTTTTGACAAGGCGGCTGAATCGAGGCTCCGGCTAAAGATCGATTTTTACATCGTACCGACAGTGTCGTTCCTTTATCTCTTCTGCTTCATTGACCGAGCAAACATCGGTATGGACACCGCTTGACACTATTTGCTGGTCACGGACTTACTCTCAATAGGCAATGCGCGAATTGCAGGAATGGAGAAGGACCTCGTCTTCACCGGATACAACTACAACCAAATCCTCTCCGTCTTCTACGTTTCATACATTATATTCGAAATCCCTTGCACCGTGCTCTGCAAGTATATTGGTCCGGGATGGTTCATTCCCGTGACATCCCTCCTCTTCGGCGTCTGCTCTGTCGGCACGGCGTTTGTGAATACTACCGCCGCTGCTTGTGGTGTGCGATTCTTACTCGGCATTTTTGAGGCGGGCATGTTACCTGGTATAGCGTACTACCTCTCCAGATGGTACCGTCGAAGCGAATTAGCATTCCGACTCTCCCTCTACATCGTCATGGCACCGCTCGCCGGTGCTTTTGGAGGACTTCTCGCGTCCGGCATCCTAAAGCTTTCCAACTTCGGCGGCCTTGAGTCGTGGCGCATGATCTTTGCCATCGAGGGCATCATCACGATTGGCCTCTCCCTCATTTCCTTCTTCACCTTGACCGACAGCCCGGAAACTGCACGATGGCTGTCTCAAGAAGAGAAGGATCTTGCTATTGCCCGCGTTAAATCGGAGCGCATTGGCACGACTGAAGTCCTGGACAAAATCGACACACCGAAACTTCTGAGAGGTATCTTCAGTCCGGTAACACTCGGCACTTCATTCATTTTCCTCTTGGATAATATCACCGTGCAAGGCCTTGCCTTCTTCGCCCCCACCATTGTCAGGACTATATACCCAAACAACTCGACGGTTTCTCAGCAGCTCTATACCGTACCTCCATATGTGGTAGGGGCCTTTATCACCCTTTTGGTACCGTACTTGAGTTGGAAAACGGATCGCCGCACCATCTACTTCATCGTCTCGGCTCCCTTCATGATGATTGGATATATCATGTTTCTAGTGAGCAGCGATCCCCACGTCAGGTACGGCGCCAGTTTTCTCGTCGCGATGGGTGCATTCTCTTTCGGTGCCCTGTGCAACGCACATGTTTCCGCCAACGTCGTTTCGGATACTGCGCGGTCCGCCGCCATTGGCACGAATGTCATGTTTGGAAACATTGGCGGCCTGATCGCCACATGGTCGTTTCTACCATTCGATGGGCCAGACTACCACATTGGTAATGGCCTCAACCTTGCCACATCTTCTGTTGTCTTCTTAAGTTCTATTTGTCTCCTAGCCTGGATGAAGCTTGACAACAGGCGGCGTGACAATAAGAATATTGAGGAAGAACTAGGTGGGTTCACCCAGAGAGCGACTCAGGACCTTGATTGGCGGCATCCTGCTTTCCGGTGGAAGCCATAATTAGTTGGATTGAATTTGAGGGAGGTTACGACCGGTAGGACACTTCATGAAGTCTGGCATGACTTCTTGTCTCTGTGAGCTTAAATAAGGTTATTTTAAGGATGTGGACGTCAATTTGCGATTAGCATCTCTTAAAATCTAGTTGCGGCTTTAGCCTCGGAAATTGGTTTTGCATCTGTATTTACTAACGGGGACTCTTCCTGAGCTGAAGTGTAGGTTCTTTCTTACACCCAAATAGCCTCGGTACCGCGAGTAGAAAATAAGGGGATTAATATATAGGTATAACTCTTACGCAGGCATGGCTTTTATGGCATCTGATTGAATAAGACCCTCGTCGTTGGATGTGTTTTTTGGAGGTGTCAATAGTTTATCAGGGAAAATGTGCTGAACCTGTAGGTGATTACCAGGGAAAAAGTCAGCCTCCAAGACACCGATGAAGAACCATAAGACCAGGATAGTGGTGAAATTCTAGACCCACGCAAACCCGAGTATAAGAACTCCCTACAAGAACATAAGAAGACTCAGCTAGGGCGACGGGCGGACATATCGCTTCATAATCTAGTTGGCCGGGATATCAAAGAGCGTGTAGTCTACGCTATACCGAAGGCAGTGGGGACGATGGAGTAATGTGTCGAATTTATATTGGTTTTCTGGAGCATCGAGTCCCCCATCTCTTAGGAGAGGATATTTCCGTTCCCGATGTTGGGTCGGTCGAGGTAGTTAAGAAGGTGGGCGAAGGCGCACAGAGGCACTAGGCGCTCGTCCACTTTCCGGGTGACGCATCTATTAAATCTGTCGTCACATTTCGCTGTGGATATCTTAGGGCTTAGCATAGTAGCCAGCTCAGGGGACTCGACGTGCTGAACATGTCTATGGTCGTATTTGGCCATTTTTGATAGAAGCTGCAGTACCATAGCGGATATGGTAGCCAGGAGAAGGTTATAAAAAAGAGGCGGAACTCCTGAGTCATGCAGGAAACTATCTGAGGATGAAGCAGATCTGGCTTCCCAAGTGTGATATTTATATACAATTAAAGTCTAGCCTCCGAGTTAGCCAAGGGTTGGATAACCCGCGGTAAGCAGCTGGAGAAGGCACTCTGGGGGGAGTTCTTGGAACGGGACATGTGTGGCAATCCTGGCGCATTCTCAGGCGGAGTCGGGGGTAGAAGGCTTTCCCCGAGCAGCAGCACACCCATGTTAGTATATAGCCGAGCAGAATTGCACTCATGCTCGGTACTCGGAATTCATTTAAGCTGACCGAGGGGCGAAGTGCTTTTGCGTTTTTCTCGTGGATATAATTATCTCCTCAGCTGATGCGTATGTCATGTAGACCATGGGTATCAGAGATGATGTAGAAAGTAAGATGTCTTGTCTATGGATAAGCTGAGCAGATTGCCTCATATGACGGCTAACTGCTCAGTAGATGCCTGGCAAGCCAGGAATCCCTAGGATACGGCTAGCTGCACGCATCATCAGCAGTATCAAACATGAAGGGCTGGATGGATCACGGATTCAAATTGAATTGGTTTAAGCAGAGCTAACATAGTTCTCAAAAGAGCTACTATGTTTAGCTTCATGCGGGGTTATGTGCCTATGGGGGCGGTCAGTTCATCTTAAATCGATCTCGCGACGCGAGATGGAGATCTTGAATTTTTCTTCCACGAGATCCATCAGCACGGCACGACTCTAAAGATACCGTGCATTATAAGTTACGCCCAGTCACAAGGGCTCTCTCCAGGCAACCATTGCATCTTAAGACAATGGCATCCTCGTTTGACTATGGTTTCATGCTGCCTGATGGGAGCAAAATTATCCATGGCGAGGGTGTGTTGGTGAAGGACGCCTATCCTCCAGAGTTGAACATCCCAGGCCAGCTACAGGTTTTCAGCCCGGGCCACAGGACAGATCCCACAACCCCAACGTTCTGCGGGCCACACGGCATCTTCCCCTTCGATGTCAACCTCAGGATGCCTCGCCATGTCCATATGGCTCCAAAAGCATCCGGAGATGGCAACCGATACATTGTGGAGAAACTCGTGGTCTTAAATGGCGTCGCTCTCGCCGAGCTCAGCGGCGAGATCTACGTGATTCCGCCCAACACCATGGTTCTCATCGGCGCTGGTGTGCCTCACACTTGGACAGCCTGCCCCCCCGGGCTAGACCTCCAGGAGCTCGGGGTGTCCAAGGACGAAAGAATTGTGTCTGAGGGCAAGTTCACCGCGGTCTACGAGTACGAGGAGCCCACGACCTTCTACCCAACGGCGCAGACGGAGGTGTTGAAGGACGAGAGTGCCTATGTGAGATGCGACGATCTTCAAGCAATCAAGATCCCGGCATTCACGCTTGAGCAGCTGAAGAAGGATGCGTGGTTTGTGTGGGGGAGGGGAGCGCGGAAACTGATGACCGTCGGGACATGAAGAATTAGACGGGAGCCCTCTAATTGGGTACGACTAGCGGCGGGGAAGGATCCCGCTCATTATGCCACCACACGAGGCCGCAATCCAACACTTCATACGGAATGCATCCAACTCGATGTGCCATTAGAAATCAGCGACACGGATGATGATGAATGTGTTCCCAGGACCTTGGAAGTGCGGGGTAAATTAGCTAGCTAGCTACCTTGGCTACAGTACTGCAAAACCCCCTTATAAATAAAGGCAGCGCAGTATCCGATACTGCAAACAGGACACTTCCCTCCCTGTGCTCCTTTGCCATTCACCCATTCACCCCCCTATCCATCCTTCTCTCCTCTGCCAACCGTCTTTTTTTGTCATCGTCCAGGATTTCTCTCGGGAGCCTGTCTGTCTGCTCTCTGTCCAGAAATGCCTGAGCAAGGCCGAATCAACCCCGTCCGTCTGCGCGCATCCCGAGCCTGCCAGGCATGTAGTTCGCGAAAGGTGCGGTGCGACGCGACCGAGGTTGGACTCCCATGCAGCCGCTGCCGCGTCAACAAGTCCCCCAACTGCTTTCTGGTAGCATCGCGACGGGGCACGTACCCCAGAAAACAGCATAAGGAACAGACCCGGCACCAGAGCGCTGCGTCCTCGAGCCTCGTCGGGAGTGCGACGAGCGGGGGCGCGACGAGCGGGGGCGCGGCGAGCGGGAGCGCGGCGTTGACTCAGGACCCGTCGGCTGCGGGGAGGCCGGCCCAGCCGCATTCCGCGACGTATTCGCCATCTCCTTCGTCTCCTTCGTTGGAGTCGGAGTCGTCCCAGGCAGCCGACGGCTTGATAGCCGAGATTGATGACAGCCGCAGCGGCAGCCAGCAGCGCGATTCGCTAGCCTCCATGTTTGAGAGGTTTCTAGAGCAGCAGGGCCAGAACGTCGAGGACCCCACCAACACATGCGGCATCATCTTCATGAGCGACGCCTCCCCTCTGACCTTTGCTCTTGAGGAGGCCCGGGACAGAAACAACAAGCCGGTCCTGCACGATGCGGATTTGCACTTTTCCAGCGCTGACCGTGTGGGCACGGTCGACTGCGCCGACCACCCGGCATACCTGTCGCCGCACGATGTGGGCTATCTCAGGGTCAAGGGAGCCTTTGAGCGGCCCACCGAAGATGCCCTAGCCGCAATGGTGGCGGCCTTCGTCGAGAGATTTTATCCGCTGTACGCCGTCGTTGACCTGGGCCCGTTTAAGTACTCCCTCAGCGCAGGGACTCTGCCCTGGATACTGCTCCACGCCGTCTGCTTCATCGGGTCCACCTTTTGCGACCTGAGTGTCATCCATGGTGCCGGCTTCAAAGGCCGCTGGCACGCGAGGCGCCACTTTTACGACAAGGCAAAGCTATTGTTTGACATCGGCTACGAGACAAACAAGATCGTGCTGCTCCAGTGCGTCATCATGCTCTCGTTCTGGGGCCCGCAGATGAAGAGCTACTGGAACCCTTGTTCCTGGGTCGGCTTTGGTGTCACCATTGCAGAGTCTCTCGGGATCCACAGGATGAGCACGTCCACCCACGTCGATAGAGGGCGGAGGAGCCTGCTCAAGCGATTGTTCTGGGTCCTCGCCGTCCGGGACGCCTATTGTGCCACCCTGCTGGGCCGTCCGTGCCGGCTCAACATGGCCCAGTGCGATACGGAACCGCTGGGGCTCGACGACTTTGACAAGGGCAGGCAGTGCAGCAACAGTCAAGACCAAGACCGCAACAAGTGCCAGTTACACGCCCACTATCTGATTCAGGTCTCAAAGCTCTCCTTGATTCTCCGGAGTATCGTCGAGACCCGGTTTGGCCCGGGGAAGAATGCCTCTATGAGGGCCCATCTCCACCGCCAGCTGGATGCGTGGCAGGCCGAGTTGCCGCCGTGCGTGAACTGGACGCAGCAGCAGCAGCAGGCGCAGGCGCAGACGACCAACCTCTTTGCTTTGAGCCTGAAAATCATCTTTCACCTCCAACTCATCCTCACACACCTCGAGAACCCGGACGAGGCAGCTAGCTCCTCCTCACTCCTGCCTGGTGTCGTAACCTCATCTTGCCAAATTACCGAGTCAGCCGCGCACATTATCTCTTCGACGGCCTTCACAATCATTGCCAATTCAATGCTCGGCGTTATGCCGCATGAAGTCTTGTCCGGCTTCTTCGTCGCCGGCATTGTCTTCTACCGTGGCATCAAGCACCCACATGGGGTTCTCTCTCACCTGCCACGATCCGCCTTGGATAACTGTCAAATGGTCATCAGCGAAGCACGCGGGAGATGGGATCCAGCGAACTGGGTTCTGAGGATCTTTGACTTCTTGCTGTCTAGCAACAGCGGCAGTTCCGACACAGCGGGACAGGCCAGCCAAGACAAGCTAGCCACAAGCGGTGGCAACTACTTCAACCCTGGTGCGGTATCCTTCTTTAACGATACTCGCGTTTTGGATATGCTGCCTGATGATGACATGCTGCACTCTATTGACTTTGGCTCACCGATCAACCTGGGGGTGGGTTCACTAGCTAATGAGCTCTTCCCCTTGTCCAGCTACCTACCATTGCCGTCGGAGAATCCGTCATTTGAGGCAACGTAAGCAGTTCGACATTTCCCAATCTTGCTATCCGAGGTTATATGCCTGGCAACAGCGTTCTCGAGAGGTCATCAACTGCCTCTCTGAAGTTTGAGTAAGTTACTGTACTTGTATCAAAATAAATGGCCTCACGGGTTCACAGGCTCACGGCTCGCGCGCCCGCTTTCAACCCGTGAGGGGCATCGGCAAGCGGGCATTGTGGAGATAGACTGGCACCGCTCTTGAGTGCGGGGAACCATTTCCGGCCTCTAGTTCAGTTAAGCTTAGTTGGTTGCCACTCTCGGCTATTCCGATGGGGCCGACGGGGTGTCGGTTAACTCGCTGGCCTCTTAGTAATAGCCGTCTGTATGAGACACACCCAACGAGACGTCCGATGCCGTTACCTCGGATTGGTACTAGCTAACATTGTTAGATACTCCTTGTACTTGAATCATATCCATCCTCTGAGCATTGTTCTCTGTTGCGTCGTTTCACTCCTGGCTTAATCATATCCTCCGGGGCAAGCAGACATCACAAACCCACTCACCTCAACCTCGACTCCGTCCCGGAACCTCGGACGGTTCGCCTTACAACCTGCAATGGTCGTCAAAAGTCGCTATCCCGATCTGGACCTCCCGGTCGTCGACATCTTCTCCTTCTTGTTCAAGCGTAAAGATCGCAAGTTTCCGGATAGCCACCGTATGTCCCTCACACTCAAAAGGCCTTTGGTCTGGCTTGGCTTGGCCTGACACTGACCGATGTGGCGCGACAGCGATTTTCCGCGATGGCCATACCAATAAGACGTACAGCTTCGGCCATGTCAAACAGCTTGCGGAAGAATTCGGCAAAGGTCTGAGGTCTCGATATGACTGGAAGAAGGGTGACGTGCTGGCAATATCTTCGCTGAGCGATATTGACATCCCCCCCGTGATTCTCGGGACCCTATGGGCTGGAGGAACCGTGTCAACTTCGAATCCAGACTACACGGTGAGGGAACTCTCTCACCAGCTTCTGGATAGCGGCGCGAAGTGCGTCGTCGCGCAATATTCTAACATCGAGGTGGTCAAGGAGGCGTGCAGCGCAGCAGGCATTGCAGAAGACCACATCCTCCTTCTGGGCGCCGAGAAAGACCCAACCGGGCGATTGAGCCACTGGACGGGAGTCCGAAATCTGAGTGTTGTCACGAGGTATGCGGCGCGCAAGATTGACCCCGAGGACGACGCCGCCTTCTTGGCCTATTCGTCGGGGACCACCGGGAAGCCTAAGGCTGTCAGGCTCACCCACTACAACATCACCTCCAACGTCCTTCAGCTACAGGTAGCCGAAGGGTTCAATCTCACCTGGGACGGCAGCCGGACCGCTCGAGACATTCCCTTGCCAGAACCGGGCGCCGGGGGCGACAAGATCCTAGCATGCCTCCCGTTCTTCCACATTTACGGGTTAACTGTTCTCGTCCACAGTCCCCTATACTCGGGCGTGACAACTGTCGTGATGCAGCGCTTTGACTTAGACAGATGGTGCCAGATGGTGCAGGAGCAACGAATCACGTACTCTTACATCGTGCCTCCCATCGTCCTGCACTTGGCCAAGCACCCTGCCGTCTCATCCTACGATCTCTCCAGCCTACGTATGACGCATTCAGGTGCCGCGCCTCTGACACGCGAGCTCATCGATCAAGTATACAAGAGGCTGAAAATCCGCATCAAGCAAGGCTACGGACTCTCGGAGACTAGCCCGTGCTTGTACCAGGGCTCCTGGGGTGAGTGGGATGTTGACATTGGAAGCTGCGGTGCCCTGCTGCCGAATCTAGAAGCCAAGATCTGCGAGCCTTATGACCCTTCCGGCGGAAACGCCGGGGCAGCCTCGGCCAGAGAGCTTCTGGTTGGCGAGGTGGGAGAGCTGCACGTCAGAGGCCCGAATGTGTTCGGAGGCTACAGTAACAATGCCAAAGAAACGGCCGAGTGTCTGAGCCCGGACGGGTGGTTCCGCACAGGAGACATAGGATACATCAACGCCAGGGGTAACCTATACATCACGGACCGCGTGAAGGAGTTAATCAAGTATAAAGGCTTCCAGGTCGCACCTGCGGAGCTGGAAGGCTACCTTCACGAGTTCCCGGGTGTTGCTGACTGTGCCGTGGTGGGTGTGTACAACAAGGAGCTAGCTACCGAGGTTCCGCGAGCATACGTCGTGACCGAGGACGCTTGCAAACCACTCGATGCCGACCAGCTGCAGAAGTGGTTCAGTAGCCGCGTGGCACACTACAAGAGGCTAAGGGGCGGGGTTAAACTGGTCCAGCGGATTCCGAAGAATGCAAGCGGAAAGATACTCAGGAGGGTTCTAAAGGAGACGGCGCGTGAGGAGTTTGAGACAAAGAGATCATCGAAGTTGTAGACCTCAGTTATTCATGCAATGCTGTCAATCATAGCCTTACTGATACGTCTTCATGCAGCTAACCTGGACACTGTTAAGGGTATAGCGCAAAATTACATCGTCTGTCTCTGGGTATCAGCGCTCCGTCTCCTGTCTACGTTACGTCTCAGGTGGTATCACTGCTATATATATTTGTCTTCGGTAGAGTAGATTCTTCGACCTATCTCGCTCTCCAGCCCCGAGTTCATCACGTCTTGGGAGTTATGCTCGACCGCGGACTTCCCTATCCCATCCCGGCTTTGGATCGCGCACCAGCTATCAAGACTGGTATTGCATTCTAACAACTCGCCCCAGTAGTCAAAACCACCATTTTCTAAACTCGATCCGTCCGTCAGAAACAGCCGATAGTCGGGCATGTCTTCGGTTGACGGCATCGCGCTGCCTCGGCCCGTAGTAATCAGGTCTGTCAGCGCAGGAAGGTGATATTCCGTTGTAGGGAACTGAGACCACTGTGCTTCGGCGTGAGGGTCCATGTCCACCGGCATAGGGCATGGCAAACCCGATATTCTTGGCGTTGAGTAAGACGGTGTTGCGGGCCCTATGCTGACGGTGTCTCTGTCATCAACGGAAGTGGTAAATGATGGAACGATGTCCTCTAGAGTTGCTGGCGGCAGAGGCCACCATTCAGTCAAGTCGGGTACTGTGTGGCGGTTGGATGGTGCTGGCTGGAGCGAAGCCGATGCTCCTTCAATGTTGCTCTGTCCCCCATGCTGCCTCTGCCACCGAGGGTTGGTAGCGGAGAGATCGTTGATGTCTTCACGGTTATCCAAGTCATTCGTATCTTTTTTCCGTGTACAGCTCTCATGACCCGGACGAGATTGCGAGCTCTGTGGGCGCGCGCGTGCATAACCGCCAGCAGATGCCTTGTCCCTCTGCTCCTCCCAGTCTTTCCAGTCATCACAGAAGACTGCAGTGAAACCCGTGATTCTTTCCCCGCTATGGGCAAACCTCCGCCGCCTTGATCGAGAATTTTTGGGGTTAAATGGCCAGTCCCAATCATCAGAAAACTCTGCCGTGCAGCGAATGTCCCTTAGATCTAGATTCATCTGGCGTTGTGGCAATGGATAGATCATGCGTATAACAAGGCTGGTGGGCTTGTCGCTGATGCGGATGGAACAACTTTGAGATGTCTTATCCAGCGGAAATAGAAGAAATCGAGAGCGTAGGCTTTTGGTCGCGCTTGGGCCAGAATCAAAACGAACCAGTAATGCAAAGTGTGCCAGAGCTAGGGCAAGAGTCAGAGCCAGTGTGGGAGCACTTGTTGCCCAGGCGATGATATCTCGACAATGCTACGCCGCATTCACCTTGTTCGGAAGCTTTCTCCCCTTCATCTTATTTTCGTTTGGAGCGGGCGCATCTCAAAGCTTCTTTCCTTCCAACACCCGAGACGGAAAGAAGACCGCCACGGCTATATTGCCCCTTAAGCAGCTTAGCGCCGGCTATATGGTGGCTTCAGTTACGGTAAGTTGTCAGGTACTCTCGGGCCGATCAGCGCCAGCGAGGGAGAGGCAAGCTCCGCGGGGCAGTTCCCGCACCCTCATCGGTCAATATCCCCTACCTGTGATCCGATGCTAAACCAGCACACTGCGGGGCCCCGCAGCATAAATCTGGGGTAATTACTTAGTAAAGAGCTGTTCGACCTGATGCTTCCAAATCTATCTCACCTCGACTCATCTCGTCTTGTCTCATCCCACCGTGACGCTGCGCTCTTCCCTCCGCCTTTTCTCCCTCGTATCTTTGGCTTTCCAAGTTATCTCACCATCTACGCACACAGACGTCGAGATGGAGCCTCAGTATCTTGATGCCCTGGTTGTTGGTGCCGGGTTTGGTGGCATCTATCAGCTTAAGAAGCTGCTTGATCGGAATCTGCATGTTAAGGCTATCGATATGGCAGGCGATGTCGGAGGCACTTGGTACTGGAATCGCTACCCGGGGGCGTTGTCCGAGTAAGCAATCCTCTTGGGCGAGAACCATTGCATTGCCAAGCGAAAAAGTCTTTACTTATTCAAGCAGCACCCAGTCATTCCTCTACCGATACTCGTGGGACTTGGAGGATCTCAGGTCGTACCCGTGGAAAACCCACTACCTTGAAGGCCCCGAAATCCTGGCATATCTCAAGCATATGGTCGAAAAGTACGACCTTCGGAAACACTTTCAGTTCAATACCGAGCTCCTATCCGCAAAATGGAGAGAGGAGGAACGGAGATGGGTTGTTACTTTATCAACGGACGAGGTGCTCAAAGTCAAGTACCTCATCACGGGACTTGGTCTTCTCTCAAAGACCAACTGGCCTAAGATCCCCAACATGCAAAGCTTCCAGGGCGAGCTCTACCACACAGCTAGGTGGCCGGATGGCGTAGACCTCAAGGGAAAGCGAGTCGGGATCATTGGGAACGGCTCCACTGGAGTGCAGCTCATCACGGCTATCGCAAAAGCCGACGAGGTCAAACAGCTGCTCTCGTTCCAACGCAACCCCCAGTACAGCGTCCCTGCTGGAAATGGACCAGTCTCGGCCGAGAGCCGCAAGCGTCTTAACGACTCGTATGAGGAAGTCTGGGACCAGGCCAAAAAAAGCTTGTTTGCGTACGGCTTCCAAGAGAGCACTCGGCCCACCTTCAGCGTCACCCCAGCGCAGCGCGAGCAGATCTACGAAGACGCTTGGCAGAAGGGCAACGGCTTCCGCTTCATGTTCTGGACCTTTGACGATATCACTGTCAACGAGGAGGCAAATAAGGCTGCCGCTGAATTCATCAAAAAAAAGATCCGCCAGACAGTCAAGGACCCAGAGAAAGCTCGCAAGCTTTGCCCTAGAGAATTCTACGCCCGGAGGCCACTGTGTGACACTGGGTACTACGAGCAGTTCAACCGCGACAACGTTGATGTCGTTGATATCAAGACGAACCCCATTACCGAATTCACACCAAACGGCATCAAGACTGCCGAAGGCAAGATCTACGAGCTCGATGTCGTCATCTGCGCCACCGGATTCGACGCTGTCGACGGTAGCTACACGCGCATCGCGATCCAGGGACGGAGCGGCGAGTCGCTGAAAGCCCACTGGGCAAAGAACGGGCCGACATCATACCTGGGAATCTGCGTACCAAACTTTCCCAACCTCTTCATGATCTGCGGCCCAAACGGTCCATTCTCAAACCTTCCGCCGGCAATCGAGACACACGTTGAGATCATCTCTGATCTGATTGCCATAGCAGAGACGGATCCGGCACGTCTGGTCAGGGCGGTCAATACCTCCTGCGAAGCCATCAGCATCAACGGCGGCGGACACAGGAACGGCCACGCAAGCGGTCGACCAACTAGCCATGGCATAATCGAAGCCGAAGCTGAGGCGGAGGAGGATTGGACGGGTTTGTGCGACCAATTGAGCTCCAAGAGCTTGTTCCGCAAGATCGAAACCTCATGGATCTTCGGTGCCAACGTGCCAGGCAAGAAGGCGGTTCCGATGTTCTGGTTTGGTGGCTTAGGCCCGTACAGGAGGGCAGTGCAAGAGATATACGACGATGATCTGAGGGGTTTCAGGAAGTTTGATGCACAGCCCGAGCGCGCCGTTTTGTGACACATGAGGGTGCTATGATGAGTTGTCGGTTACTGTTGTTTCCAGGTAGTTTCTTTATGCGCTGATCCCGAGGTAAATTCTCGAAATAACCATTTTCGGCACCTTTGCTTGCGTGGCGCGATTACTCACCGGGTCGACCGTGGAGTGAAGACCATGTCTGGTTCATTCCTACATTGGTAGATTTACGGGGGCAAAGAGTCATCGTTGAGACGTTTGTGACATGAGTCTGATAGGCACACGAGATAGACAATTTGTATGGCGCTGGGTCAAAATACCACTCTTGCGTAGACGCTGTCTTGTGCTTCTGGCTAGACCACACTAACAACAATGCAATACAATATACAGTCGCGTTTCTGAAAACCATACAAAAAGGTTTTTTTGATCTAAAGCAGCTCATGCGTCAATGTCAAGCACCTGCAGCCCTTCCAAGACAGGCCCCAGGCCTCCACCCAAAGCCAGATGAGCAGGGTCTGACTTTGCATAGTAGTCGCGATCTTCGGCGGTTTCGAACATAGTGACGATCATATGGGTGAAGCCGTTCTGTGGATTTTCAGTGTGTCAGCCCAATCCAGGAAAAATCGCATTGGTCTGCTACACGTACTTGCAATCCCTCAATGGAATTGTCCACTCCAGCGGTGATGGACTTGATGTATGGCTCTTGGGTGTTGGGAAGGACACATTTATCCTTGAGCGACTTCAGATCAGCAATCACCTGGTTAGTGTCAGTGATGGTGTCTCTTGTCACGATGATAGAGAGGAAGACAGACATGGTGGATCTTGTCCTTGTCGACATCTGGCTTGAACCGAAGCTGTACAACGTGGATGATTCCTCCCATTATGAACAAGGCGCAGACAGTATGAAGCTACTTCAGAGAGTTGCCCTGGTAGGTACGTACTATCACAGCGGAAGGAGTGGTGTCAGCCGGCTCGACGCCTCCCATCAAACTCTTATAACAGCATCCCCAGCGCTCGGATCTTCCGGTCAGCTGCATTAGTCAATGGCGGCGCCTGACTCAACGTTATCCGACCATCATATAGCCGACCGAGTCTCAGTAGGCATGGCTACCCGCAATGGCTCCCCAGGCCATCGGGCCGATCAACTGGATTGATCAGCGGCCAGTTATTCACTCACTCACTTTGTCATCCTCCTAGTCGGATGCAGGACATATCCCGAACGCAAAGCGGATACCGGGTGCGGTAGAACACGTCACATTCGCGTTGTGTCATAGAGAAAGCGTTCTTCTCAATCATCGCTTCAGCCTTCAGAACCTAGGTAAGGAGCCTTTGTCAATTACTTGACATGGATATTACGTCATGCGCCGTCTAAAAGCTCCTGGTTCTAGGGAGGAGGAATTTGATGGCGAGCCCTGGCTCTTGACGGCCAGATCACAGATCACGGCACTATCCTTCCCTCGTCCTTTCCGCCATCATGGAATTCATGCCTGCTGCAAGTGCGAGTGTGGGCAATGGGTGGATCAAGGTAAATACCAACTCCTCTGCATTTGTCAGCTTGGGCCCGAGTTCCGCAAACTTGAAGTGAAGAGGGAGCAGTATGGTAATCGCCAGCAACGTTATGATGTCACATCACACCTTAATCCACAACACGCTCAACATGCGTACCACATCTGATGGATGGTTGCTCTATAAAGGTGTGCCTGATGCGCCCGCCATCCTGCAATCACAGCCAACTCCATCCACATCCTCCAGCAGTTTGACCATCCCAGTATCTTTACATCACACATGGCGACCAAAGGCTCCGTTTTCCTCATCGGCCCCGGCTTCATCGGGCTCCAGATCCTGGGAGAGCTCCTGGCAGAAGGCTACCCGGTAACCACATTGGTACGAAGGGAGGAGGCCAAGGCGAGCCTCGAGAAACTCGGGTCCAAGACTATCCTCGGGTCGCTGGACGATGGCGACGTCATCCGCATAGCCGCTGCTGCCGCCGACATCGTCATCCACACCGCCACGGCCGACCATCTACCATCCGCTGCCTCGGTCTTGGATGGCATCGCCGAGCGCGCCAAGACTGGCAAGAGCACCATTTACATCCACACCAGCGGCTGCAGCGCACTCACCGATAAGTCAAATGGCGACCACACAAGCGACACGGTATATCAAGACGACAGACCAGAAACCATCGACAGCATCGCCGACGACGCCCCGCATCGCGCCATCGACCTTGCTATCCTGAGGTCTCGTAGCGAACTCGGCGCCAAGGCAAAGATATCGATTGTGCTCCCGCCCGTCATCTACGGGATGGGCAAGGGAAACCGCCTCTCCATCCAGGTCCCGACCATGGCTCGGTTCGCCGTCAAGCATGGCTACGCTGGTTATGTTGGAGGCGGGAAGGCAGTCTGGGGCCAAATCCACGTCGCGGATCTGGCACGAGCATACTTGGCCATACTGCACTACATGGAGTCCACCTCTGGAGACAAGGTCCTTGAAAACCCGTACTTCTTCATCGAGAATGGAGAGGAATATTCGTGGCAGAGGTGCGCCGAGGAGATTGGCAAGGCACTTCAGAAGGCAGGGAAAATCCAGGATCCGACTCCTCGCCAGATCCCGAGCGACCTCTACAATGACCTCTTTGGGGAATGGTCTCTGGCGGTCATTGGTCGGAACGCCAGGAATCGTGCCAATAGATTGCGCGCTCTTGGCTGGAAACCCCGGGAGAAGTCAACCTTTAATTCCTTGCTGACGGACGAACTGCCCATCATCCTCGCTGAAACGTCCGACTTCCAGGGGTACAGCGCTAGAGTGGCTTCCTAGGCGCTTATACACTGATGTTAATTAAGACGCATTGTGCCTTGCCTACTTTTTGATCGTTGACATGTTATCCCTCCGACTTCGTGCCCTCCATCGCCTTTGTTCCGCGTATATGTGACTGTGGCCTCTTGTGCCTTGTCAGATTCCAGGCCAACGGCAAAGGCTTTTTGACTCGTCTACACGTAGAATATGCATTCAAGCTCGTGTGGTCTACAAGAGGTTATCCACTTGTTTGATCTTCAGTCTACGGTATCCGAGATGCTTAGTCTTGCTATTTGTATCTCTCCGATTAGCGAGACCCAGGTGTCTCATATCTTGAAAAGAAACTTGTGTGCCTTCTGGGTTTCAAACAACTCGAAAGCCTCGGGAGCCCGCTCAAGAGTGATCTTGTCCTGACAGAGGAAAGCTAGGTGGTGCTTCAGCTTTGCCAACACCGGTGTGGTTTCTTCAACCAGACTACGTACGGGACACCGTCCAAACGCCATTGTGACGTTCTTGGAGTACAAAGCAAACCCGGGAAAACTGATCTGTTCGTTGTGAACTCCAACACTAGAGATCTTGCCGAAAGGCCGGATCAAGTCAAAAGCGAGCTCGAGAGCATCTGTATGGCCGACAGCCTCCATCACAACATCTGCACCGCGGCCAGACGACGCGTCCTTGACTTTCTGGACAGGATCATCCGATAGGTTGATGGGCACAGCGCCTAGTTTCTCGGCCTCCCGCAGACGTTCTAGCACCGAGTCCACGGCAAATATCTTGGCTTTACCGCGCGTGAGGTAGATGGCCGAGGCTATAGCGCAGATACCGACAGGCCCACAGCCGAGTACCACAGCCACAGGGTCTTCCTGTGTTTGGGGCAGATCCTTGAGAAAGCGGCTTGCGGCGAAGTAGCCTGTGGGAACACGTCCGCCATCAGGACGAGCATGTCTTCTGGGATCGAGGCTGGGGCTCTCATCAACGACGATGCGGCATGCGGGACGCGGATGAACTCGGCTTGTCCTCCGTCAACAGTCAAGGTCGGCGTGACGCAGCCGAAGAGGACCCCATTGGAGCACCGGCTGGATTGCCCTTGGTTGCAGTAGAAGCAGTCACCGCAGGCAGTAGAGAAGGGAACCACAACATGGTCGCCGATCTGGAAGCCCTCGACTGATGCGCCCAGCGCAACGATGTGTCCAACTGTCTCGTGCCCGCAGACAAATCCCGGCGTAGACTTTTGATGGCCCCGGTAGTAGTGCTGCGCTCGAGTTAGCGAAGCGACGAACAGGAGCTTCAAGACGCGGTACCAGGTCGCTGCCACAGAGAGCTGTCGAGGAGACCTTTAGGATTGCATCGGTGGGTTCGCGAATCTGTGGTACTGGCTTGGTGACGACATCGACTTGGAAAGGGCCTTTGAAGACCACTGCTCTCATTGTGTCCGGTTGTGGAGAACCCATAGCGGTTAGTTGGCAATGGTGACTGATTCACTTGCCTCGACAGGTGGAAGATCAAGAGGAGCAAGCGTAAACGATATGATCACTGCGATGCTCTGCTAGTAGTTCTCGATAAATTAGATTGACATTCAGTCTTTATATAGCAGCAGTCCTGGATTCATCATCTATCCTTCCAGAATTATTCCGTTCCACAAACATCAACGATATTGATGAGCTGTAGATAGGGCCGCAACAGTACCCCCTCCGTGTGTCTAGCACATTGCCGACAAGTCCGCGACGATATACCCGGAGGAGGGGCAATAAAGGTACCATCAATGTGAGGGGTCCGGGCGTGAGTATTCACGCAAATACCCGAGAACTTGTCAGCCCCGTTGTGCATATAGCCGTTTGTGGCCCCTAGGAGCCGCGCCGGCTCTGGCAGAGGCTCTTCTGGAGCAACGCTGGTCGCAGTGTATTCACTCCCCGCGAAGGGTTGAAAGAAGCCCGACTCTCACTTGCGTCCGCTCGGTGGTTCGGGCGAGTTCGATGCTTCTGTACACCCGAGCTGACCAGCCTGCGGCACGGTATTGGCCAGCGTAGAATGCAAAGAACGTGACAGGCCACATCCGTTCTCGTCGGACGTCACACTCTGCAAAGCTCCAAGGCGTAGTGGCCTGTAGGACTAAGATGTCGTTTGAGTTTCACTCTGCCAACTGACAATGATCATATGGGCGAGACAGCGAATTCTTTTATTCGGCGGCAGTTCTTGCAATCAACTCATAGATCGTACGTGATATTCTTAGTCCGGACCCATTCCTCCATCCCTGCATTGAATCTCCCGAAGCCGCTGGACTTGGCCCCTCCATGCGGCAGGGCTGATTCGTCATGAACAGTCATGCGGTTAATATGCACAGCTCCGGTCTCTATCTTCTTGGCAAGCCTCAAAGCTCTTCGCAGATCGCGAGAGAAGATGGCTGAAGAGAGGCCGTACTCGGTGTCGTTCGCAATGGCGAGGGCGTCCTCCTCAGTCTCAAACTCAATGATGGAGACTGTTGGGCCGAAAGACTCGGTCAGGTAGATATCCATGTCGGGCTTGACGTTGCTAATGATGATGGGCCGCAGCCGTGTCTTAGTCGACTCGGTAGCATCTATATCACCAGACACCAGTGATGCACCCCGGGCTAAGGCGTCCAGGACTAGATGTCGATTCTTAGCCACCGCTCGGTCCGCGATCAGGACCGGGCTGTCGCTCTGCGAAACAAAGAGCTTGTCCGTCCATTCCCCCAGCTTCTCTTCCAGCTCTCGGCGGATCGACTTGTGGACAAGGATACGCTCGGTGCTCATACAGATCTGTCCCGCATACATGAATGCTCCCAGCGCACATTGCTTCGCTGCGACGTCGAGGTCAGCATCTTGGCACACGATAGCCGGCGCTTTGCCGCCTAGCTCGAGGAGAAGGGGTTTTAGATTTGCGCCGGCCCATTCGGCGATAGTGCGACCCACGGCGGTGCTGCCGGTGAAGTTGATCTTCTTGATGATTGGGTTGCTGATCAGGGTCTTGGTAACTTCTGGGGCATTCTGCGGGTTGCAGGTGATGAAATTGATGACGCCGCTGGGGAGCCCTGCTTCTTGGAGCACCGAAGCAACAGACCAGAGCGAGCGAGGGCTCAGCTCCGAACCCTTGAAGACCGCAGTGTTACCCGCAGCAATTGCCCACACGACGGCTCTGAAGCCTAGCGCATAGGGGGCGTTCCTGTTCATTCAGTGTCAGCTATGCCGTTGCCACGAGGAAATGTCGGCGGCTGGCTTGACTCACCAGGGGGCTATGGCTAGAACAACGCCATAGGGCTCCTTGACAATGAGCGCGCCTGTGGTCGGGTCGTTTGGACTCGGTATCCTCCCTTCGATTGCAGTAATCCTGCTTGCACAGTCAAGGAGACACTCCTTGGCCAAGTACAGGTTGAATTCTGCCCATCCCTCGTCGCTGCCGGTCTCCTGCATCATATACTCCTTCAACTCTGGCGAACGCTTCTCGACAATAATGGCAGCCGCGAGGAAGATGTTCCGGCGCTGCGCAGGTGTCATCTGGCTCCAAGACTCAAAAGCCCTTTCTCCAGCTTGGGCGGCCGCTTGTGCGTGGGACACATTAGCATTCGAGCTCTTGTGTACGACAGCCCCCGTACTTGGGTTGACCACGTCGAAGGTGTCGTCGGAGAAGACTTCGTTGCCGTCGATGACGAGAGGCACATCATCCCGGTGAACGGGAGCCCCGCCATCCCCAGCTCTGACAGAAGTAGGCATGTTAGGGTAAGGAGGTGAGTGTCGAGGCTGAACGAGTTTAGTGCTTGGTCCAGTCGGCGCTGAGAGACTCACGCCGTGAATGATAACAAGATGTCCTTGACGGTTAGCTGAGCGGGTGGTCCGTCGGGGTAACAAGCGAATTCTGCTTACTTATAGGTGGCATCCCCCTCATGGTCGGAAGCCGGGTATGTGTGTGGGGATGGGGGGGCGGAAGCCGGGCCTGGTGGGGGCTCTTGTAACGGTCGTGCCTCAGGTCTGCCGTATACGTGGTATAGGGTAGGCGAGAGACTGGTTGCTGGTGGATAAACCGTAGGTTTATGTTAGCAGAGAGGTTAGGGCGTCACTTACTGGGTAAATGTTACGTCTGGTAATAGCCAAGCACGGTGATGCATAGCGAGTCAAGGTGATTGAGGTAACCAAGTTGTATTGAAAGCTGAGGTGGCTAAGAGTCTAGGAAAGTGCTAATGAACGTGTGTCTATATACTAGAAGGATAGGTGAGGCTCACGGCATTGAGCCTTGGAATCGCAGGTGAGCCGTAGAGGCTCACGCGTGAGCCGGGGCGGCTCATGGGTGAGTCCCTTAGTGCGGCGTGAGCCGCAGTGAGGTGTACTTGATTGGGGGAAATTTGTGGGGTGCACGTGACGCTGGGCGTCCACGTTGCATGGGTCGTGACAGCTCTGGGGCGGGGGAAGTGGGCACCACCCATGCAGCGACGACTTAACCTTATGTCAGAGGTTTGCAGGAACGGCGACTGATACATGGACACCCTACATTAGATATTTAAACACCTAATGATATATATGTGCTGCTTATTTTTAATCTTAAGATATTGATGGATCCGTTACGGTCAATTCGATCAAATGGATAGGGATCAATACAGTGATGATGATGTTGATGATTGCTTGCTTCCGTTATCCGGATCGGCCGGAAGAGGGGTTATCATACCCCCCTTCTGACTAAGGTCCGGATATCAATCTATCAGAGGTTTCGTTATACAGGGTCATATTTCAACACTATATATTAATTTATTACTTTTATTCCACTGCTTAGTTAATAACCTTTAACATTTTCTTACTAATTTTCTTAATAAACTTCTAGCTTTTATATTATTTTTATTTTTATTATTTTTAGCTAATTTTAATAGTATAGCTTTTTCTATTTGAATAAAGTTAAAGTTAATATTAATAACGTACATGATAAGCATGCGCCGCATCCAAGTATGCGCCGCACTTTTCCCTCAAACACATAACTCTCTATATTATCAACTCAATTTCAACCACCAAACATGCCACAGCAAACTACTGAAGCTAGAACCCTTCTTGCCCTTCAAGCCCTTCAAAACGACCCAAAATTAAGTATCCGACGCGCCGCATTGATATACGAAATAGATGAGCGAAGGCTACGTCGCCGACAGAATGGCATTCAATCTCGACGCGATTGGATCCCGAAATCGCGTCGTCTATCTGATCTAGAGGAACAGATCATTGTTCAGTTCATTCTCGACCTGGATTCGCGAGGATTTGCCCCGCGACTGCGTGGTGTTGAAGAAATGGCCAACCGACTGCTCGCTGACCGCGACGCGTCACCTGTCGGCAAGCGCTGGGCTTCTAACTTCGTCAGGCGACAACCAGAGCTTAAGACGCGTTTTTTTCGTAAATACGACTATCAGAGGGCCAAATGCGAAGATCCAACCATTATTCGCAATTGGTTCCGGCTCGTGGAGAATACAATCGCGAAATATGGTATCGACCTAGCCGATATCTACAACTTTGATGAGACCGGCTTTATGATGGGCATAATCGCAAGCGGAATGGTCATCACAGGCGCAGATAGGCGTGGAAACCCGAAATCAGTCCAGCCTGGAAACCGGGAATGGGTTACAGTCATTCAGGCGATTAATGCGGAAGGCTGGGCAATCCAGCCATTTATCGTGGTTGCGGGCCAATATCACCTCGCCAACTGGTACCAAGAAAGCAACCTCCCGGGCGATTGGGCTATTGCAACAACTCAAAATGGCTGGACCAATAATGAGACAGGTCTTAAGTGGCTCAAGCACTTTAATCGGCATACAAAGGATCGATCGACCGGTCGCTATCGTCTTCTAATCCTCGATGGGCATGAAAGTCACCACTCCGTCGACTTTGAGAAATATTGTGAAGAGAACGACATCATTACGCTTTGTATGCCGCCTCATTCATCTCATCTGCTCCAGCCTCTTGATGTCGGGTGCTTTGGGCCGCTTAAAATAGCCTATGGTCAAGCAATTGAGCAATTGATCAGATGCTCCATAACTCATGTTTCGAAGACCGAGTTCTTCCCAGCCTTCTACGCTGCCCACGAAGCCGCCATGACAAGGAGTAATATTGAGGGAGGTTTTCGAGGGGCCGGACTTATTCCCTTGAACCCAGAAAATGTCATATCGAAGCTTGATGTACAGCTACGGACTCCAACACCAGTGAGGGAGGAGATCAGCCTCCCCGACCCTTGGGTCTCGAAGACCCCAAAGACCGTGCTTGAGGCTAGCTCTCAGTCTGAATACCTCGAAAGACGAATGAAAAGGCATCAGAGCAGCTCTCCAGCATCAATTCTTGAGGCGCTTAAGTCACTTTCAAAAGGAACAAAGGCAATAATGCATCAGAATGCCCTATTGAAAGCTGAGGTCCAGATCCTTCGACAGGCGAATGAGACTCTTAGTAAGCGGCGTAGAGCAAAAAGAACCCGCCTACAAAAAGGAGGGAATATGACTCTAGATGAGGGAAGGGATGCGATAGATCAGAGAGACGTTGATGCGCAGGTAGTGGCTGAATCGTCGAGAAGTGGTGGTCGACGGAGGTTGGCGCTACCGAAGGAAAGGCGCTGTGGAACTTGTGGAAAGGCTGGTCATAATGCAAGGACTTGTCAGGCTGTAATTGAGACCTCTGGAGAAGAGTATAGTGATTAGTTTTAATTGATTGGATGCTTTGTTGTGTTTTTATTGAAGTTTTAATCTTAAAGGGTTAGGAAAAGTGCGACGCATACTTGGATGCGGCGCATGCTTATCATGTACGTTAGAGTATAAAAATATTTAACGTACATGATAAGCGAACAACTCAGACAAGCAAGTGACTCACTCTTTGTCACGGGCCAGGGCCCATATCCTTGCGGCTGTGCCGCAAGACGTACGAGGCTCGTGCGCGCCAGGGACGGGAAATCGTTCCACAGCTCAGGGGCATTTGGGAACTTCTTTCTTTCTTCTTCATCTTTGATGTAAATAGCATCCTGGACTAGATAGCTGGAATCCAGCTACTAGAGGCCGTTCACAGATTAATAAACCTTTTATTAAATCCCAGAAAATCCTAGGAGACTTTAAGGCATCTAAATAAGAAAAGTGGATACTAATTGTCTCCACTTTTCCTCTTTTCTCTATTCTAACTATTAATAATTTTGTAAGATTTTCTAGGATAGTTATAATAAAGAGTGAGTCACTCGCTTGTCTGAGTCGTTCGCTTATCATGTACGTTATAGCTTTAATCTATCTGATAATATTAAGTAAAGCTAAAAAAAAAACCAAATACTCAAAGTCTATACTGAGTAATTTTACTATATATTCAGCTTCTAGTTTGGGTTGTGTAACGGTCTCAAGGTAGTGTATTGCAACTAGCTAGGCCACTCTACAGAGTATACTAAACTTAAGGAAAGAAGAAGAAGAGAAAGAGAGTAGAGGAGGTCCATCCATAAATATACTCGTCATGGTGGCTTAAGGTAAAAAGTGGGCCACGAAAGGCCGAGGGTTCCCGAGGCCACCTACGGGCACAGCCCGTTACAGGTTGGCTAAGATATAGTAGTTTTCTTCTAGAACCTGATTTTTTCCAGTCTGAGATTTGAATTTTTCCAGTCTGTAACCCGAACCTAAACCCCTGGTTTACCTTCTACTATTACTTATTATTACGATAACTCATTTATCGTCGCTTTATTTCTTTATATACTCAATCTGGGCTGCCTCTATACTCAGCTGACCCTTGGCTGCCGGACTGGTTCCCCAGAGCTAGTTGCGTATATGTACCCTTATAATCCATTCGAGGCCAGAGCTGCCTGCTCATTATCGCCTCGTTCTCATTGTCATTACTGTTGCTATGTTGCCCCAGTGTCCCCTCCTACTCCAGCAGCCCTCTGACAACCTCGCTGGTCCCTAGTTGCTTCCGTCCGTGTAGTTGTCTCAATAGGCACCTAAGGGTCGTCCCTCGGTTGGCCCGGAGGGCTTGTGGCATTAGTCGCTCGCGTCGTCTCAGTCGCGCTGATTCGTGCAGCTTCGCGTTGAGTGGGCTCCGCGCCCCCTTGTGTGCCTTGTTTTGACATTGGAGAAAAAAAAAGGAATTGCCAAATCGACTGGCCCTTGTGCCTTGTTACTTGTGGGTTGAGCTTGAAATATGTGAAAGGCTGCACAGGAGTTTATTCAACAAGCTGCTGCTATTGGAATTGTCTAAAGATATGGAGCCAAACAAGAGAAGAGAGTCTTGGTTCCTTTAATATAGCTACTCGGCGGTTAAAGCTGGCAAAAACCCCCAACTCACTGGATCCGGTACAGTTGGGATCCTTTACCTACAGTGAGTTATTGCTGAATTTTCCTTACTGACCTGGCTGAATTAGAATCTTCACGTGGGCTGATTTATTACTAATCAGTTCGTTAAAACCCCCATCCACCACGTTCGACAAAGGGACAATAGATGTGATCATCTGCTCCACGTCGATCTTGCCCTCAGCTATAGTGCGGAGCACAGCCTCAAAGTCCCCATTGGTATAACAAATGCCGCCCATCAGTTTCTTTTCCTTTTGAGCTAGGTTGTTAAGGTTCAGAAGGAGAGGCTTCTCGTGAATAGCGACGTTGAAGATGGTCCCCCCGGTCCGGACACCAGCAATAGCTAAGTCCAGCGTAGACTGCAATCCAGTCGCATCGAAGGCCACATCTACCCCGTCAACGGTGACGTCGTATATGGCAGCCAAGACAGGGTCAGTATAGGGGGTTTCATTGCCATCGACCTTCTGTAGGGGGTTTATGACAACGTCTGCGCCAAATTTCTTAGCTTGTGCCATCCGTAACTCCGTGACCTCAGTAACGATGATCTTTGCTGCGCCCATCGCGCGAAGGGTGATAGTAAGGGCAAGGCCAATAGGACCGGCGCCGCAGATAAGGGCCGTCTGGCCCGATTGGAAGCCAGAGATATCGACGCAGTGATGCGCGACAGCGAGCGGCTCTGCCAACGCACCCGCCTTCAAGCTGACGCCAGGAGGTAGAACAAAGCAGTTCATCGCCTTGACTGCAGTCTCTTCGCAGAAGCCGCCTCCAGGAGCGTTAAGCCCATACGTCGTCATGGCGTCGCAGGTGTTGTACCTCCCTTTCTTACACATGCCGCAAAGCTCTGCCTGGTAGTGTCGGTGGTCCAGACAAGGGTTGACAGTCACATTCTGGCCCAGCTTTAAGTTGTTCACGCCGGAACCGACCTGAATGATAGTCCCAGAGAATTCATGCCCCATGGTGACTGGTAGCTTGACCCCCGTAAAGGGATGGATCTCGCCATGGGGTGGTGGGAAGATTGGCCCGCCGAGGAATTCATGAATGTCACTTCCGCAGATACCGCAGTATGCGACTTTGAGGCGGACTTCGTCAGGACCACACGACCTGTGTCAGTATGTTAGTAGACTACGTGTTGTATTATGGGTTTCGGCCACGCACAGCGTCGGGACTTGTTCCAGTTGGATCTGTCCTTTCTTGTAGAAGCGCAACGCTTGTACTGTTCGAGTACTGGGGGTTTCCATGGCAGTCGTTGTTGTGGATGACGTGATTATGGATTAGACCTGTTTCTCGATATTCGAAATAGGAATCTGATTGCACCTGTGATATTCGTGGGACCCGTTCCTTTGAGACCAGTATTTAAGGCATTGGTGATTTTGTTTCGGTAAATGGAAATGGTTATCCCCGCGTTCGGTTACGTACAACCGGCTTTATGTCTCCCCAACAGGCAACTGGGCGCTTCCACTGGTGTCCTTGTCACTTGTCTCTCCTCGGTCAATTCAGTTATACTTTCCCTAGTAAAGGCAGCGTAAATTTACCATTGATCTAGACCGTTCTCTTATCCGTCCCATGGTCAATTTGCATCGAACCGCCCCGAGAGTCGTGGATCCTGAAATCGGTTCCGGATGTGGAGAAAGGCTTTTTAGCGGAGATAAGACTGCTCACAAACTACTACACAGATTGCTACTCTTTCTATCTTAGTAATAAATATATTCTATAAGTGATCTAGACTCGGGATTAGGAAAAAACGATCCCTCCATCGACAACGATATTTTGACCCGTCACAAAGTCTGAGTCAGGTCCACATAGGAACCCCCCTACGACCTTAGCAACATCGTCTGGCACACTCACTCTCCCCATGGCCGTCAATTCTTCCACATACTTCTGAACCGTCTCCCCCTCCGCGCGGCCCTGCATCTTGCCCAGCGTCCTATCAATATGCTCCCACATAGACGTTCCTACAATCCCAGGCGCGTAGCAGTTCACATTTATCTTGTGCTGGGCCATTTCAATGGCGAACACCTGGGTCAAGCTCCTCACGGCACTCTTGGAGGCACAGTAGTGAGCCAGAAGGGGGAACGGCTTATATGCTGCAATTGACGAAGCGCCCAGGATCTTGTATCCAGTGCCACCTTCGTGGACAGGTCCTTGGGCGATCATCTGCCGTGCAGCATGGGTGTAGCAGTTCCAGACGCCGGTGAAGTTGACGCTCATCGTCTGTGCGACGTCTTCATTTGACAGCTGGAGTGCAGCACCAACGCCAGCAATACCAGCGTTTGCGACCATGACTGTCAAAGGGCCAAGGCGCTTGACAGACTCTTGAATCATGAACTTTACCTCGGAAGACGAGGTCACATCCGCAATGATTCCGGTGAACGTACCCTTGCCAAACGTGTCGTTTAGCTCAGCGACCAATTTGTCCACACCAGGCTTGTTAGCGGCAACATCGTTGACTGTGACAGCATAATCTTCGGCTGCCAGGCGACGGACGATAGCCTCACCGCTGCAAAAGGGCATCTTTGGTCAACACAAGCATGTACATGAGTCTAGGATTGGTTCCAGCGGTCAGCGTACATTCCACGGCTCGAACCCGTTACAATTGCCGTTCTCTTCTGGCGTCCGTCCCCCTTGATTGGTTCAACTCTTATATAGCGACGGACCAAAGGCTTTATTAATGGTTGTACGACCAGGGGGCGGATCCAGCGTTGGGTAGGTGTTTTTCTCGGACGATCTATTGAGACAACAACAGTCCCTAATAAACCTATCCCCACAGGCTTCAAAGTGTGGGCTGTAGCCCAACAAGGCTATTTCCTGCGGTGGATTTGGCACCGACCCGGCCGGAAATACGGGCCTGTTGGTATCCGGCTGAGCTACCGGCGCCTGCCGTCACAGCTGCGGCGGACCCGGCAGCAGCGACAAGAGAGGAAGACAATCCATCTGAACCCGACCCAAGCTGTGGTTGTTGCCCTAGTAAATCTGCTGCCGGAAGCCAGATACCATGTATTTCTCGATAACCTATTCTCTTCCTGTGACCTCTTTCGCCGGCTCCGGCAATGCGGCCACGGCGCCACAGGCACAGCCCGCAGGAACTGTGGCATCTACAAGCCTCTTGTCAAGCTCAAAGCTGCAGATAACACAGCTGCCGGCAGCCTTCAATTCAATGACATCAAAGCTATCCCGACAGCAGATAACCAAGTCAGTCAGAGAGATAGGATTGTATTGATTTTCCCTACTAATTTGTCTTCGGCTAGGTCAATCAGATCGCATGGAAAGATAACGCCCTCGTGCTATTCCTGTCCACTGTGTTCAAGGGCACTGAGAGACTCGAACGCATAAGGAAGAGACCGACAACAGACCAAATGCAAGCACGGCCAATACAGCGATTTTTTGGTGACGAGGCTGTCAAGCTGATTTCTATCCCATCCATCGCTGCTGTTTACAATGACGAGATGGGTGCTGTAGATCGCGGTGACCAAATGCGGTCATATTGGAGCCCTACCCGGCGTGCCCGTAGGGGCGGCTGGAGGGCTCTAGCTTGGGACTTCCTGCTAGAAATAGCCCTTATTAACAGCTATATTTTACAGCAGCGAGGGCAGCCACAGTGGAAGCCGGAGATATCACAGGGCAATTGGCGCCAACGCATTGTTAATGACCTTATCGCAAAGTATCAGTCTGATAGTCAGGCCCGACAGAGATTTCGGACTGGAGACGAATTTACGCCTGTTATACAGCACAATTGGGTCCGGAATAAGAATCCCTCGGCATGTCAAGCTTGTAAAGGAATACGGCTTGGAGAGGGTCGGCCGCAGCCGTTACGGGCAGTCAACGGCAACAGAGGTCAGAGACTAAAGAAATCGCGATATCGCTGTCAGCAGTGTAATGTAGCGTTATGTAGAGGGGGGAATTGCTGGGACTTCTATCACCATACAAAATAGGTGGGGATCTATGTACCTTTAATTTGCTATACTCTGGTTGGCTGGACCCCCCTGCTAGTGACCTAAGTGTTGCCTTACCGCACTCAAAGGGATAGGGGTCGCTGTTGCAAAACCCCGAAATTCGCCGCGAAGGGGCCAAATTGGGTTAGCGGAATATCCCCAAGGCCCCGCAGTACATTGCCCTTTGTACCTCAGCCCACGTTTCTTGATTTTTTGGGCGCTACAGAGTTTATGGTCACAGCAACGAGTCAGCTGCGGACCAGCAGGCTGCATTTCTATTCCATCCAAAGCGACATCAGGCATCGGCGTGGCGGTCAGAGTGGAAATTGCCACTGCTCAATTATCCTCATTCTCCTCTTCCTCTTCCTCGTCCGGCTGACTGAGCTGCTGAGCATTGAGTTAGTAGTTGAATTGCATCTGAAGATTTAATTACGCTCACAATCCAGAGCCGAGCAGCCCCGGCGATGGCCATGAATCAGCGGGCACTGGGTCGAATCAATCCTCGGCCCTTCTTGACTCTGGGGTTCCTGCTGGGCGAGTCTCCAACCGCCGTGCCAGCGGTTGTAATTTCACTTACGGTGACGGGATTGGATGTGGGCATGATACAGTAACGCTGTTGACCACTGGCTTTTCCACGGCCGTTGTGATCCAGATTGGAAGGGATCTGGGGTCTGTAATTCCGGATAGCGGCATCATCCTGTTCCAAGTTGGGAAGGTACCACCAACAAAACCCCTGACGTTAGGCCGCTGTGGCCAGTATCATCACGGTAAGTCAAACTTATAGTGAGGCCACGCCCTTGCCGTCCCCCCCTTTTCTTGTTGGAACCAAGAAAATTTCCCCAAACTCACCGCCAGCAATGGCACGCCCGCCCAATCCAATCGATCAATACCGTGACTATGTCACCCACCTCTACCTTAACGGTGTCTCTCGAAGCAAGATTCAGTATAAGCTTCGGAAGCATTACCATGTCGCCGTCAATCTCAGCACAATCTCTCGCCGAATCGCAAGCTGGGGTCTCCCGCGCCAGCAAGCCCGCACCAAAGAAAGTCCAGAGCTCATAGAGGCCACTCGCGACCTGATATTTCGCGTTGGGCTTACCGAGAAGCAGACGCTGAGCGTTCTACAGAGACAGGGCTGGCCGATCACGAAACGAGGTCTGAAGTGCATCAGGCTACACCCGGACCGCCGCTGGCTACGCAGGCTCAACAGCGATGAGGAGCGACTCGCCTTGCTGGAGAAGACAGAGCAGGCCATCATCGAAATGACGCGACGTTCTAATGCCATTTCGGGTTATGGCAGAAACCTTCTCCAGCCGTATCTTCGTCAGCAAAAGCAGCTCTGGGTACCAAGAGACCCTCTCTTTGAGATGTACAAAATCATGTTCCCAAATGAGGTCGAGCTCCGGAAAAGGATGTTTCGGAGGAAGAAGGGACAGTTCCTTGTGCCAGGACCAAATTACCAGTGGTGCATTGACGGCCATGACAAGCTCAAGGCGTATGGATTCGAGATCTATGCCGCAATCGACGCTTACTCGCGCAACATTATCTGGTTCTATGTTGGCCACTCTTCTACAACTGCTTTGAGCGTCTTGAAGCAGTACTTGGCTGCATGCGACGCATACGGCTTCCGGCCATGGTATCTGCAGGCAGACAGGGGCAGCGAAACGCCCCTAGTGGCAGCAGCCCATTGGAACTTTGCTTTGGCCGCAGATGGGCGGGTGGAGTGGAATGGGCAGGTCTTCCAGCAAGGGAAACGCCTAAAGGATTCCTACAAGGCGGCGCCGAGTACGAAGAATATCAAGATTGAGAAATGGTGGGAGAGCATGCTGCATGTCTCATCCCGGCAGTGGGTGGACTACTTTGGAGAGCTCGCCAGGGACGGGGACTTCGACGGCGACATGTTGGAGGATCAGATCGCAATCTACGCCGTGTTTGAAGATTTATTACGCCAAGAACTTTTCGACTTTGTGGAGGCGTGGAATCTTCATCGAATTCGTCTTCAGAAGAACCGCCCCCATGTGGTCCACGGCCAGCCCTGGATGAATTACCACTACCCGGACCCAGACAAGGCATGCAACTGGGGCATCCCCATTGACCGTTCCGTTCTAGCTGAAATGGAGGGGCCATTGGCTGAGATCGACATTAGCACCTGTTTGGAGCCAGAGACAAAGGATTGGTGTCGCCAAGTTCTCAACGAAATGGGCTACGACAACGTAGCCCTTGGGACTCCCCAGTAGCCGGACAAGTTGCGGCCTTTCAAGCGTTTCTACCTTGGTCTTCGAGACAGAATCATTCAACACATCGAAAGC